AAAAAAAAAAAAAAAAAAAAACAAGGCCTTCTCCACTAACATTTTGTCTATACAGAGATGCATTTGGCTAGAATTTTCTGGCAGAAATGGATCCGCTTCCCTCCCCAGCTCACTCAACCTGACCCGTCATCATAACTTACATAAATAGAATTATTATTATTACTATTCATTACTCCTGGTACATAGGGGTTAAATATACAGGCCTGGGGGCAGCCTCCCTGACCCTGGGGTCACCCCATCTTTGGGATCAGATCCCCACTGGTCTGCCCCCTTCTTGGCACCCTGCCTCTGGCCAGGTCACTAACCCCAATCCCCCTAACCATGGTCCCTGATGAAGAGGCCACCAGGGGGCAATAAATTATCATCATTATCATTGTGTTTGTAAAAAGGAAAAAAGGCTCTGGAGAATGGCAAGCAATGGTGGGAAGCTGGGAAGACTAACTGGAGCCTGGAGGCTGAGGGACAGCAGTAAATAAACTTGAGAAGCAGAAAGGGTACATACATGTCAAGGAGCTAGGTGAAGAACTATTATTGGGAGCCCAAATGGAAAGAAAGTGAGTTGGCATAGCAGGGCCAGAGTCTAGGAGGCTGGAGTGCAGGAATCAGGCACAAAGGGAGGGCCTGAGATGAGACTTTCCAGAAAGCCAGTCTCATGGTGAAGGGAGAAGGTGAGATGAGGAGGCATGCAAGGAGATACCCAGGCTCAGAATGGCCAGGAGGGAGACAGAGGGAGAGATCCCCAAAAGATGCATGCGTGGGGTAAAGAGAGCGATTGTCAAGCAGTGGTCCAGAGAGCCAAGAGAGACTGGCAGGTGAGCCCTGGGGTGGGAGGCCTTCCACCCAGCTCAGATCTCCAGCAAGTTGCTCTGCTCAGGGCTGGCTCCAGGGGCTTTCTCTGGGGTCGCTGGTGAGGCAGAAGGTCGGGGTGTCTGACTGGCCTCCTCTTCCCCAGTGTTGCGGCCCTCCCCTAGCTCCTTGGGGCCACTGGGAGGGGGACCTGGGCCTGGCTCGCCGTGGGTGCGCTGGTGTTTGCTCAGATGGTCGCTCCGGGTAAAGCGCTTGGAGCAGAGCAGGCAGGTGAATTTCTTCTCCCGGGTGTGAGTGCGCACGTGGCGCTCCAGCTCATCCGAACGAGTGAACCGCTTGCCGCAGAAAAGCCAGTTGCAGACGAAGGGCCTCTCGCCTGTGTGCCAGCGCAAGTGGGCCTTCAGGTGCGAAGCCTTGCCATACACCTTGCCGCAGCCAGGGATGTGGCAACTGTGGATGGGCTTCTTCCGCAGCCCAGCTGCTGCTGCTCCCAGCCGCTCTAGTTCCTGGCAGTTGGGGCAGTCACAGGAGGAGCGCCCTGCCCCACTGCCCCCATATCCACCACTGCCCCCAGTGCTGGCACCCCGTGGGGGTTTGGCTCCACCACTCCCCTCTAGCTGCCCGCTATTTCCCACTGCCTTGGGTTTATAGACGTCTTGGGGCAGGACATGCTGGGGCCCTGGTTGCAAGAGGTGGGGAGCTGGGTAGGGGGCTGGATTAAGGGGGGCAAAATCGGATGGGTAGGTGGGCAGCTGGGGATTCAGTGGAGGCTGAGCAGGGCCTGTAGGCAGTGTTCCTTGCAGTCCATCACCCTGGCCCTGCCCCCCACCTAGCCAGTTGCCTCCAGGGTGCATGTCCCACCAAGGAGTAGGAGCGTTGCCCGGGCCTGGTGAAATTCCTGCATGGATGCCCGCCTTGTACCAGGAACCATAGGGGTGTGTCATGTCCAGAGAGGTGTAGACACTGGGTAGGCAGTCAGAAGAGCTGTGCCCCTTGGGCACTAGTAGCCCAGGGTCCTGGGTGCCAGTGGGCCCAGGGAATGAATGGGAAAAGGGAGGGTAGTCATTGGCATAGCCTGAGGTGGGTGCTGGAGGACTGCCTGCAGGTGAGAGGAGCCCATTTGTGCTTGAAAAGGGGGCTGGATAAGCATCCCCCATGGCTTTGGGGGCTGAAAGGTCACTGCCCACAGAGTACGACTTCTTTGTGCCCACTTTGCCCAGTGTTGTTGAGTCCCGAAGAGGGCTGGAGCCACCAAATTTGCTGCAGGCTGCCGTCAGCATGGCCAGGGGACTGGAGCCATAGTGAACTTCCTCCTGTGGAAAGAGGGATGCACTGCTTAGGGAGAGGGGAGGATAGGTGCAGAATGAAGAGCAGCTTTTTAGGACTGAGACCTAGAGACATCCGTAACAGAACAGAGAGGTCAGGGAAGAGTTGAAGAGGGTGGAGACTTACAGGTAAAAGAGGTTGGCCAGTAAGAACTGGACCTCAGGGCAGAGCTCACATGGAGTCACAGAAGGAGAACAGAGGCTGAAGACTGCAGCCCAGTGCCCTAACCTGGGAGGCAGTAGGCAGAGCTCATTCTGGAGTTACTAGGGGTGTCCAAGGGGCCTCCAAGGAACAGGAAGCTCTTTTCTTTTTTGAGGTAGAGTCTTGCCGTCGTCGCCCAGGCTGGAGTGCAATGGTGCGATGTTGGCTCACTACAACCTCTGCCTCCTGGGTTCAAGAGATTCTCCTGCCTCAGCCTCCTGAGTAGCCGGAACTACAGGCGCATGCCACCGCGCCCAGCTAATTTTTTTGTATTTTTAATAGAGACAGGGTTTCAGCATATTGGCCTGGATGGTCTCCATCTTCTGACCTCATGCTCCACCTGCCTCAGCCTCCCAAAATGCTGGGATTACAGGTGTGAGCCACCAAGCCCAGCCTATGTTTTTAAATAAAAAGAAAAGAAGATCGGGCCGGACGCGGTGGCTGAAGCCTGTAATCCCAGCACTTTGGGAGGCCGAGGCGGGTGGATCACGAGGTCAGGAGATCGAGACCATCCTGGTCAACATGGTGAAACCTCGTCTCTACTAAAACTACAAAAAATTAGCTGGGCATGGTGGCGCATGCCTGTAATCCCAGCTACTCAGGAGGCTGAGGCAGGAGAATTGCCTGAACCCAGGAGGCGGAGGTT